ACTATAACAAGTTGTGTTGTTCGGACTCTTCAAAAATGTTGATGACTTGTGCTGGATTCTCCAACAACAGTCCATTTTTTGAGGATCCGTCACGGATGCAGAAACATCTTTGGAGAGTTCGAACAACGTAGATAACAAGTTACTTGAAAGATAGTATAAACATGAATTGCTACTCATCTGCATGCAGGAGGAATACAAAATACTTGACAAGACGAACCGTCAAAAGATTTTAGAAGTTGAAAGGCTTACCCAAACAATTAAAGAGCTTGAAGAGACAATTCTTGCTGGAGGAGCAGCTGCTAACAAGATCCGCGACTGTCAAAGACAAATTTCTGAACTACAAGTAAGATAAACCGCGAAAACAACCTATCAAAGTAACAGAACTTAATTACTCTTTTGATAAACTGATTGGAGCTTTTCATGAACATATAGGAGGAGAAGAGGACATTGGAAAGGGAACTAGCAAGACTCAAGATTTCAGCAAATCGAGTAGCAACAGTCGTGGCAAACGAGTGGAAAGATGAGAATGACAAAGTCATGCCTGTTAAACAATGGCTAGAAGAGAGAAAACTTTTGCAGGTCACTAGAACAATATGCTAATAAGTCTGATCAAATGAGTTATTATACTTAACTAGTCAATTTCTTTGAGTAATTTTGTGTATTTGGATTGTAGGCGGAGATGCAACGACTAAGAAACAAGCTCGTGAAATCAGAGAGAACTGCTAAGGCTGAAGCACAAATCAAGGTGAGATCTTGTTTTTACATATACAGTCAAAACTCTATATAACAGCATCGTTTGTCAATGATACTTTCCAGCTGCTATTGTGAAATGTTGTTACAGAGAACATTTCTAACGTAACATGAAAGATCGGTTCCACAGAAAATATGGTTGTTATAGAGAGGTCTGACCGTATATTCTGATATCTGTTAAACATATGCCGTAGGACAAGCTAAAATTGAGGCTGAGGACATTGGAAGAAGGGCTAAAGCAATCAACAAGTGTCTTTGTCACTCCTAATGGATCGCCAAAACCTCAAAAGACTAATCATTTGTTTAGTATTTTGTCGAGCAATGCTGGATTGAAAAAGAGATCAACGTCTCAACCAAGGGCGTCTACCATCAACAGAAGTTCAGAGAATCGAAGGGATGATGCTTGGAAGCAATTCAACAAGAAAGGCTCGGGAGATAGCTTGGTGAAGAAGAGCCTGTGGGCTTATCGAAATAAGGATGCTGAAAAGGAAAATGCAGAAATCAAAGAAAATTCTAACGGGCATATATATAGCAAGGAAATGACAGATACACAGAAAATCAAGAACAGGGTTGGTGACCATGAAGATAATAAGAACACTGGAAGCAACGAGAGCAATGATAACGATATGGTATCAGGACTTTTGTACGATATGCTTCAGAAAGAGGTACTTTGTTTGAGGAAATTCTGTGAGACAAAAGAGTCTGCTTTGAATGCTAAAGATGAAGAAATCAAGGTAAACTATCATGCCCTTTCACCATCAAATACATAACAGAAACATCACAATCCCTTAAAATTTTTTACTTTTTTTTGTTGTATATATTGCAGATGCTAATGAAGAAGATTGATACATTAAACAAAGCCATAGAAGTTGAATCTAGGAAAATGAAGAGAGAATCAGCTATAAGAGAGAGAGATTCAGTATCATCGATAAAGACGGATGACAATGTAAGAAGCAGAAACTCATTAACAAGGTCTGCATTTCCTCACTTCTTTTTCACACTTCCTATGTAGAGATCAAATAACTCATCCAAATATATTACTTCCTTTTGTTCTACAGCTCCGTCAGGGTCAAAACATATTGAAGAAGATAAATACGTTGGTAGAAAACAATCGATCAGACAGTGTGATATATTCTTAGAATACTTGTATATACAAAATGCAATTGAGTTGTGATTGATTTGTGAAGTGAGGAACTAAATCTCTCGTTGATTCGTTTTGCCTATATCTTTCTTTGATAAGATGTAACTGTTTAAAAATAACATCACTTGTATTAGAGAGTGCAATACATGTATTCAAGTTTCAGAAATTTGTATTATTTTTCCTGTTCATATAGAATGCTACAATCAAGAAATAGACATTTCATGTTTTTGTGCCTGTAATAAAGAACAGCAGTAAACAACAATAGAAGAAAGTGAAGCTTCATAATTCAATTCATGGATGGCAGGGAAAAATGGCCACCTATCATAACAATGTCTCAATCTCGAAAAAGTCAGAGGTCGACTATATGAATCCTCACATGCCAATGTCATACAAAATAAAAACAAAAAGTGCAACCCTCTTCATAATGTGAGGATTCATCTTTAATTGGCTAGTTTTACGTTAGCTGTCAACATATCTATCTCGAGACAGGCAACGTGAGCAAGCTCATACGGACGTCTAGTGGAGTTTCTTGATGTCACCTCTCTCCAAAAAGCATTTTAGTATGGTACTATTTTTCATGTACAATGTTAGAGATTGGGAAAAATGGTGCTGGTTTTACACCTACATGAAATATTCTTATGATCTTAATTTCTCTAATAACTCTACAACTCTGGAATTGTATCTAAGCATGGCCTCCATTTCTTACCTACTACTCTTCTTCTTCTCTTTCCCTTGAAGGATCGAACGATTTTTCCAGATTGAAGATCTTTAACATTGTTCAAAAAGATCTCCAACTGTTCTTTTGTCAATACAATCTTGACTCTCTGGCTCTTACAACTATCACGAAGATCATAAATCTCCGCAGAAGTCAGCTTCTGCAATTGCTGGAAGAAAATAGGCGTTTTCTCCAGCAATTTGTCTTCTTCCTCGAAACTACAAACTCTTTCTTTCCTTATGTTAATGCAGTTCCCCATGACTTATTATTTGCATGTACATTACGACTAATGAATAGCTGTTCTATATATATATGTATATACACACAGCTGCTATAACATGTACCAGACAAAGAAACGTGCAGGCAACCTTCATTTTTAGTCTAAAAAAGTTTGCAGCACCCTGCATTATTAGTTTCAGGAACAAGAAATATTAAAGTATTAAATGGAAGTCAAAACTCTACAATTATTTAATCATCTAACACGAATTTAAGGCACCGTCTGAGTTGAACATTGTTTATTCTTTTAGAAAGTCAAAAAGGGGTGCATTATTCACTATACATTGCACCCCTTTGAGTCGGTACCTAATTAAGAGTCCGACTACACAAATTAAATTTAAAAATCATAAAGTTCAAATCTTGGCTCCGACTCTGGCCAGCTAAGATGATGAAATAGGAAAATAATGTCAACATTTTCGATACTTGCATTCAGAATTAGTACTGTACTTGTTATTTTGATAGAATCAGACAAAAGGCTCATCTGGGGGATTGGACATTGAGACTTCCTTGCTCTTATACCCGATTTAAGGCCTCACTTGAATGATATATGGTAGAGTTTAAGTTCAATGAAGCAACTTTTGGGTGTACTGAACGATCCAACACCTCAAGAACACGAACATGACATTTCTCAAGACGTCATTTACCTGAACAATTCCATTCACTCTATAACAATTTCACGAAAATCACATCAATTTATCTATTGACTTGACCTTTACATGCAGAATAATGTATACAGTAAGAAGGCAAGACGAAATATCAGCTGCTTGGCTCATTTGGCAAAAGATTTTAGCTAAATATATGGGGGAATTGCTTTAGTTGAATATTCACAGCTGAGCTCTTGACTGTACTAACTTGTAACTAAACAATCTCAACGCGGCTTAATCAATGTGATGATGCTTTTATAGGCCATAGCTCCTAGAGTTGTGTGCATCAGAAGGTGATAAATAGACAGACGGAAAAGAAGCAGAGAATGCCATGCTAGCTGAGCATATTGATGCTGAAAATGGGGAGGTGTAAGAAACGGAGTAAAACTGGACCTTGTTAATGAGCTCAAGCCCAAGTATATATGAATGACCTGATTCCTTGCATTGTTAAAATAACAGAGCCAAATTTTTCATCAACTTCCATTACATTGTGACAACATACCTCAAGGATACCTGAATTTCATGGCTAACTAGCTAGTAACAGGGAAAGCAAAATACCATTACTAAATAAAGTTGAACATCCAACTACATGTAATGACGTTCAGTCCTTCACAATATTCCACAAATTCAGATTAGCAGTCCACATTTAATTAGGACAACAAGCTCTGAATTTCCTGACATATGCTTGTTGTCTTGGTTAGGACAACTAGCTCTGAGTGGAGATGGTAGGTCGTGTTATGGAGAAAGTGGAAGTGATAGCCTCATAGGAGGATGAAAGAGGAAGAGGAGGCTATATTGGATAACAGAAGGGCGTAAGGAAGAAAATGAGGTAGGCATACTCCAGCTGGTAAGGAAGAGGTTGAATCAAGAGGATCTGGTGCTGCTCATCTTGATTTGGTGTAACCAGAATTGTCAATGGTGCTCAAAACATGGATGGATCAAATGCAGATCACATTTTCATCCCCCAAATAAAGCTAAGCTATCAGCAAAATGAACAACTTGATGTTGATCTCAAATTCACTCATTTTATCCATTTTATTTTCTAGTATTTAATCAGTAATGCCTCCACAGAGAGTATGCTCCTAATTATCTCTGATACTAATTCTCTTGAGCAATTCAATTGTTGGTATTAATTTCAAGAAGTATGTGCACGGGTAAAACCAATGCTTATTATATGAAACTAGGACGCCAAATAGGGTATTACCTTTGTGGCTTTTCTCAGTAGACTGAAATACAATAAAGGTAACCTTTGGGAAGCAAAGAAAATTGTTACGTCATAAAAACCATCCTTGTCAATAAACTTAACTTGGTCGATATTAAGAAGAGATATCATGCATGTGTTTTTGAATACAAAAGAACTAGCTATGTTTGCTCCAATACAATGCAAACAGTAACTTGGCGCCACAGAAAACATTTTCCATGTTTCCAATCAGTTTTTTTAGTGTTCTATGAAAGATATGGTCAGATGTTACGGTAGAATTAAAATATAAATATGATATCTCATTCATTTTTCCTCAAATTCTTTTTCTATTGCTGATTGCAAGAGATACACTTGGATAGGCTACTGAACTCGAAATTCAAAACTCCTCATCTAGAAAGAAGAGGTATCCTAAACAATGAATAATCTACTAAAGGTACCTTTCAGATGTAAGAGAAACAAAATCTCTGCAGCACAAGAATTATCAAGGCCATAGAGCAAAGAACCCTGACCATTCTAAGCAGCAACCACCTCTTGAGCACATCTAGACTCCAACCATGATGTAGCTGCAACCTTCGTGGTCAAAAACCACCCAGCCTTATCAGGTGCCTCGTGGAATGGAGCGTTTAATTCCTTAAGGTGCGACTCAAATACACCTGCCAGACCTTTCTCGGAATATTTATGTTTTCCATGTCCTGTGTTGATTCCAAGCAATGATGGGAACTCTTCCCCACTTTCAAGTGCTTTGTTCAAGTCATTAACCCAGATGTGCAATGCTGTTAAAGCTGCACCAAGGGAGAGGCTCTTCAGATGTAAAGACCATTGAGTAGCAGTTCGAGACATAATATCTGTATAGATGTTGAGAGTTAGTCCAACATCTAACAACTCACAAGCTCTCTCCAACTGGTTAAGATTGACACATATGTCAATCAAACAGTTACAGTACGCTTTCCGGACATCCGTAGTTGCACAATCCAAAAGTTCAGCAGCATGTTTCTTAAAAGCCCCTTCTTCTTCTTCAACTTCATCATCCACTAGGAGTTTCACCACGTAACCAAGCTTCGGATTTGCCTTCTCAAGGCAGATAGTTAGCTTGTGAAGGTCTTCCTTTGCTGTTTGTGTCAAAACATTAAGAAGACAACCGGTAAACCGCTCATCTGCAGATAATCCCAAATCTGACAGCCTATCGAAAGTTCTTACTACATCATCTGTCCGACCTGCTTTTCCATAACACTGAATAAGCGAGGTCAAGACAAAGATATTTGGTTCAAACCCTGCTTCAATCATCTCATTCAATGTGAATTCCGCCTCCGAGACCTTCCCACTACAAGAGAATATGGTGATTAGAGAAGAGTATGTCCAGCTGTCAGGTTGGCAAGTCTCTGAGGCCGAGCTTTTCATCTCCTCAAAAATGTTAACAGCCTCATCTGTAAGTCCGACATCAGCACACATTGCCAAAAGTGTATTATATAGTACCACACTCAACTCCAATCCCTTCTCCTTCATTTCTTTATAGATTTTAAGAGCATCTTCACCATAACGAGCCCTACCATAAGCCCGAATGAGTGAAGCATAGGTACCCCAACTTGGTTGAAATCCATTGGTTAGCATTTCTCCATAGATGTTCTTTGCCTGCCATGGCCTCCTAGCTCTTCCCATAGCATCCAACAAACTGTTATACACAGTCATGTTAGGCTTTACACCAAGCGCTTTCATTTCCTCATACACATTCAAGCACCCATCAAAATTCCCCGCAGCCCCATAAATCCTAATCAACGTTGCAAATGTTACAGCATCTATACGCCATTTCTCTGTTCTCGCACGATCATACAAACTCAATGCCATATCTACATTACCAGCCTTACCATAAGCATCAATCATCACAGAGTACGTAACATCATCTGGTTCACACCCAAAAGATGGCAACTTTTCAAACCATTCAATAGCTTTTTCAGGCAAATTACACTGCCTAGCACAACTAATAATAGTCGAGAAAGTAACATTATCAGGCTTTACCCCTCTCTCAAGCATTTCATCAAACACCTTCTCTGCTCTATCCAAATCCTTATTTTTCCTCAAAACTTTCAACGTCACATTATATACAATCACCTCTTTGCTCAATTTCAACCTTTGTTGAAAATACTTCATCGCCAGCAACGCAGTTTCAGCATTAGTCATGTTATTCAATGTCACAACAGCATCTTGCTCTACTATTTTGTCACCCAATTCAGCTAAAACATTAGAAACATCTTCTTCTACAGGTTTACAAGAATCCAAAGACTCAGCCACTTTCATTAAAGAAGCATACCTGAAATCGTAAGACTTCCGCTTCAGCTCAGAAGCTCGGGGGCTTTTGGGGTTGACCCAAAGCTTGCTTTTTGATGAAGAAACAGCTTTTCTATCTGGGTATTGAGAAGTATTGGGATTTGAGACCTGGGATTGTTCTTGAAGTGACACTTGGGTCGTTCTAATACAAGATTTGGAGTGAAGTTTAAGGGGAAAAGTGAATTTTTGAGGAGAATTGAAGTTGCAGAAGATATTGGATTCATAGAGAGGAGAAAGTGTAGAGCTTGGAGCAGACGCCATTTTCTTGGAGCAAAGCTTTAGCGTTACCACCCGCCTTATCAACTATGGTGTTTCAAGAGAAATGGAAGAGGTGAATTTGATAAAAAAGAATTAACATATTGCCCCTTAAAAGTTTAGGATTATGAACAATTTACCCCCCTAAACTTTTCAAATAGTTATTTGAAAACTATTTCAAGTAAATGTGTACCCATTTTTTTTTGTTAGATAAAATTTGGTTCCTTTAATATTATTCGGTTTAGATGTAGGATACCTTTTCAGAAGTTAGCGCAATTCTAGAGGTTTGACCGAATTAAGCTTCTGCAATTTTAGAATCTCCTTGTTGAATGATTTGTTCTTTCATATTGGAATCAAATATTTGACCTTTTCGAGTTATGTTTGTAACTCACTTGAGGCACGAAAAATAACAAAAAGACGTGTATGAACGAGATATTCCGTAACAAAAAAAGAAGGGAAAGAATTAAATGGAGGAACTCTCGAGCATTTGGTGATCTCAAATATGAAGTTGTCTGATGGAAAGCTAATTTCATGTTTGATTTAGATAGGACTTTTTATGTTGAAAATTTCTCGTTCATTTTCATGTGAATTTCTCAACGAATATTTTCAAACTTGAGGGGTCCTATGTATTCTATCTCCGGAGCCACGAAGTAGACCCCCTCAAATATTAGCATTTAATAAGATCAGATATGAAGTTTCTCATATTATCCTTTACAAATCGTACTTTGTAATGTATTTCTTATTGTAATAATTTCAACAATTATTAACTTCCTAACTGATTGCGTTGAGAGCCAAATATTAACTTCAAATCGCGAGTTTGTAATTATATTTGTTTTTTTAAAAAAAAACCTAAATATTGAATACTTACTCTAATTCTAGAACAATTGGTCTTAACTAGTATTTTAATACTTTTTTTTCTCCAACAAAAATAATACTCTTATAACTTATCACGTGAGAACAATATTTTAGTTGAGTGATACACAAATTGGAATTAGAAGGATTTTCAGTTAAAATTTTGAGAAATTAAACCACTAGTAATGTTGAAAAATGACATTTATTAATCAATCAAGACTTTTCAACAATCTAATTAACATCTTTTATTCTATTTTACAAAAGAAAATTACCTATACATAGTTTATCATTTAATAACAATTTTTAATGAAAAAAAGACAACCCCATTAATAGAAGCCCACATTGAAGAGCCCAGACATTGACCCATCACCTTACATAATTGAGCAAGCATTAGCATTTTCATCATTAAAGTACTGATCACATCTGCTCACATAACAGCCCCTACCATAGCCATAAGGCCCAGGCCCATAGCTATCGTAACACGGCGGCGGAGGGACCGGTCTTCCCCACCCTTGATAACACGGGCCCCCGGTTTGGCCTTCGTAGCATTGTCCACAACAGTATTCCGGTGGCGGAGGGGCCGATCGTCCGTACCCTTGATAACACGGACCCCCAGTTTGGCCTCCGTAGCATTGTCCACAACAATATCCGTGTGGCGGTTGTGGGTATTCTTGAATTGGCACTGGCGTTGGCATTGGCATTACGGGCTCTGGTTTAGGTTTAGGAACTTCTTTGGGCTTTTCGGGCTCTGGTTTAGGTTTAGGAACTTCTTTGGGCTTTTCGGGCTCTTTGGGCTTAGGCTTCTCAACTTCTTTTGGCTTTTCAGGTGTCTTAGGTTTCTGAGGCTCTTTAATGATAACAATCTTAGGCTTCTCAGGTTCTTTAGGTTTTTCAGTAACGACAACCTTAGGCTTCTCAGGCTCCTTGGGCTTTTCAATGACGACAACTTTAGGTTTTTCGGGCTCTTTAGGCTTTTCAGGTTTGGGCTTTTCGGGCTCTTTGGGCTTTTCGGGAGGTTTGGGCTTTGGAGGGTCTTTGATTTCAATGCTTTTGATTACTCCACATCCTTTACAACACAATTTGTCACGAAGTTTTTCAGGATTACAACAAACAACAGTGATTGTGACTGTATTGCCCTTCTCATCATATACTTGATCTCTAATTTCTATTTTCCCAAAAAAATTGACACCACAAAAAAAAAAAAGGAAAAAAAATCAAATGAATTTTTATTCATATTATAATATTGAAGAATTCAAGAAAAAAGAGACTTACGAGGGAATTTACAGAGAATTTTTTTAACTTTTTTGTAGCAGCTTGAACATTGAAGATCAACTTTGAGTACCATGATAGTAGTCTGATAATTAAACAATAAATTAAAATAATTCTAAGGATACAATTAATCAAAGCTTGTGAATAATATTATGCAAGAATGAACTAATTTTTTTTTTTTTGTATTTGTGGAAAGATAAAAATTCAAAAAATATTTAAGCGCGATCATATATATTAAATTCTTGATCAAACGTCATATAGTTATATATAAGATCGACCAGAATATTTTTCGAATAAAAAATAAATAGTGAATTCATACCTTTTCACCCCCCATGGTTGATACTTGAAGAAAATGGATTTTGTGTGGAGAGAAAAGAGTTTTAGCTTTAATAAAAATATATATTAGTATGAAAGAAACATCAAAAAGTCTTTATGAAGAAAAAAAAAAGAAGGAATAAAGTAGGAAAACATCTTTAAAATTAAATGGAAGTTAAAATTAATGATTTCATCTAAATTGGCAGCCACTAGAATTGCTGACTATACATATACTCTCAATTTTCATGTACTGGCTTTGATGGTCACATTTCACCTTCCCTTTTATACCAAGCAAATATATTCTCGTCCGGTTCGACGTTCGATATCTATATTGAGATTGGTTAAATTTGAATTCATACACTTTAAAGATTGTTTACAGAAATGACGCAACTAATAAGATTTTTTTTCATGTGTACAAAAATTCAAATTCAAGACCCCTGATTAAAAATGAGAAAAATGATCAATATTAATATTCAAGACCCCTGATTAAAGATGGGGAAAAATGATCAATATTAATACCATATACACTGTATTTAACTTTTACAAGTAAATTTTGTGGTGATAAGCATAACAACTTGATAAAGTGATTGATAATTAATTTGTTATAACATGTTAAATTAAATTAAATCATTAATAAGGAAAGTATCTTTCGAATCTCGTAGAATTAAATAGTTTTGATCCAAATACTTATTTATATATGTTATGAAATTTATTTAAATATTTTATCTAAATTGGTTGGGTTGGTGTACTACCCCCACATGGTGCTAGCTCTATATATGTAGGCATTCAATCTTTAAATTGTCATTAAATTTTACCTAATTTGTAATCATAAATCTTTTCCACTTTTTTTGTCTTCTACAAAAGAGTGTGAATGAAGATAATTGAACATAATTGACACGTAAAATAATGGACTAATTACAAAAATTGTAAGTGGAAAATGATAATTGTGGTGTGTCGTTATTGTGCATGCATCTCAATCAATTTTAAAGCTATATGTTATCTCTTACCAACACATCATACACCAAGTAAATTTTTAACATATGAGATGAAAATCAACTGTTTCAATAATTATATATTTAGCAAATTAATAAATAAAATAGAAAAGTCAAAGGTCAACATCATTAGTACTAAAAAAATATGTGATTCTTTTCTTTTAGGTAGAAGTTTAATGTCAAGGTGGGTACAAAGGCGGACTCACATGGTGTCTATCGGGTGCTTGAGCACCTATTAATTTCGTTACGAAATATGTATATTTGTATAGAAATTGATAGGTATTTGTATAAAATTAACATAGAGCACCCAATGAATAAATAATTTAGTTGGCTCAATGGCTCCTCTCACTGTTAACACGTATTTTTTTTATATTTTTCACTTTAGAGCACTCACAACCTTAAGTTCTTAGATCCGCCACTGGGTGGGTAGTGAGGGACCAAACTCAAAATCTATAGCTACAAAGTGAGGGGCGGCTTTTATAACTTTGTTGATCTATAGCCAAATTCTAAATTATTTCATATGATATGATGTAAACAAATATAATAAATAGATGTTCGTGGGGACATGGAATGTAGGAGGCAAAGTCACCACATGAAGAATTGAACTTGGTTGATTGAATGAATTCTAGTGCACCAATTGATATTTATGTTTTTAGATACGATAAGTAAATTTTATTTAGATATATAAATTATAATATGTTCTGATGAAATATTTAAACTTATAATTAAATATTTATAACTCAGTTCTAAAAAATGATTTTGTGAATGTTTTTACAAGTGTCCGTTAAATATGAAAGTTAACCTTTATAACTCACGATCTTCTTAAATTATACGCATCAAATCTCGATAAACCATATAATTACTAGCATATTCTAATCAAGTCCTGCTATGAACAGGTTCCAAGAAAGTGTCCATCTAAATGCAGGCAATGTACTAGGTGCAAAGGACAGTGGGCCACTTCCAAGTGGCTATCGTTGATTCGCTAAACTTTGAACAATGACACACACTAGAGTTCAAAACCTAAATAAGCAAAAAATAAATAAAAAATTGATCAAAATAAATCACTATTTTAGAAAGCAATTAAAATAAATTTAGTGAAAGAAAAAGTTTCACTTTATCCAATATTTTAAACATTTTCTGTTAGTCCCAACTCCCATAATGTTTATATTTCATTAGTGAAAGTTTTTCTTACACTTTATAAAGTGAAAGAAAAACCTACACTTTACAAAAAAAATATTTTATTTTGTTTTCTTTATGAAGTTTTTGTTGTGTTTGTCATATAATTGAGATATTTTCCCTATATATGCAAAATAATATAAATATGTATCACATGCACTTAATTTACTTAAATAAAAAAAAAATCAAGCGTTGGACATACTGATAATTATTTGCATAAAAAAATATGTGAGACGTGAAAAATTGAGAATGTCCTAACATTTTTTGTCATTTCAGACTCTGAGGACTGATTAAAATGATTATCTAGTCTTTAACTTGGAGCAATATTCCTACATTGTTGAAGTAAACCACTACAAAATATATAATAATAATAATAAAAAAAAATCATATAATTAATAAATAATTAACAAAATGAACAAATAATAATCGAAATATAATCATTGAGCATTACCAGTCACTTTCACTGATAG